AATAAACCTGAGGGAGAGACGCCGGGCACGTGTTGGAGGATGTTATAGCCACAGAGCAGCAGGCCTTCCTCAGTGCAAGGAGAAACTGCCCTTCGTGCAGCACTCTAGAATGTACAGGGGAAAAAACGTACGCCGTCAAGGTGACTTCAAAACAGGGCAGATTTAATACACTTCTCAGGCAGGCAGCGATATAAATTTTGTGTTTCTAGAAGTCACACCAGACAATTTCTTTGAGGCTGGAATAACTCCTGCTATGAATCTTCAGAAGCTAGGTGAAAAACAAACTGTACGACAAGGGATTTTAACAAATGCTGGAAAACGGGAGAAGTTTCCGAGACCTGAATACTGTGACAGTTACAGTATTTAAAAAGAGGGAAAGACTGGTTGTTCTGACGTGATTTCCATCAGAACACCACAAGAGAGATTTTCATTTCTCTGCCAGTGATGACTCAGGATAAAACAGGAATACCCATCAGTGTGGTTTCATGGAAAACAGCTTTCACCAAAGCAGTCCATGGTAAGATGATCAGTCCACCTGGGACACAGAAGCAGTGCTGCTATGCTACTATTTCCCAACAGATTCAAGGAAAAACTTAGAATTAGAGAAAAAAAATATAGAGTGAACAAAGTATACCCCAGGTAAAAAGTACACACACACACACACACACACACATCAAAAAGTAGTTAATGAGGAAATATCCACTAGGTGACCCTTGGTTTTGTTTGGTTTCTTTAACGACTGAGCCATGGAGATCTGAAATCAGCCTCGTGTTGCCCGACTGTTGTTACCAGAGATCTGGACACTAATATGCCACTTTCCTACCTGAACGGGCAAACAACAACTGGGATGGTAAGGCCGGGCTACAGCCTACAAACCACCCAGGGAATGGGTGAGAATCCACCCGGGTACATTTTGACTACCCGTTCTGCCCTTAGGAACCCCCGGGAGACTGATTCCCGGGGCGAGAATTGGGGCATGAGCAAAAGGAAGGACAAACCTTTTGCGAACAGCGGTAGCAGAGAGGCAGTCGCTGCAGGGACCGGCACTCGCTGGGACGTCTCTGCGGGTTGTGCAGCAAGTGATCCTCTAAGCTCCAGTCGTGCTTCCCGTCCCAGCCTCCCTCGGTCACGCTTGGATTTAGTGAACACCAACGCGGGCACTTCCTCCCCCTTCTCCAACCCCGCCAAAACAGACATTAAAAAAGCCAAATCCCAGAATATCAGCAATCTCCTGCAATCTCTTTTTCTCACTATCCTGAAGACAACCTTCAAAATACTGTAACATCTCTTTACAATTCCAGTGAGAAACATTCTTTTGCAGTTAAAAAAAGGGCAAGGCAGTTACATTTTGGAAATGTTCTCTGGACACAGACCTCCATTTATCCTTCGCATGCAAAAACAGACTGAGCAGATGACACATCTTTAATTTATAAGCTTAAAACAAAAGATGGAAAAGAGAATTTGAAGATATTTCTCCAGCGTGGTGTCTCTTCTCCCCTTCATTCATATCCACCCGCTTGAAAATAGAATAACTAGTGGTTTCAATAGGAACTATAATTGCAGCATCCTCAGTCTCAGGCAAGCAGAGAGCTGCAGTTTGGTTTTATTTTTCTTACACCCACAGAGGATTCTGTTTTGTTTCGACCTCTCATTACTTGCGCTCACTCTCTTGGCTCAAACCATCAGATTCACTCTCAGCCATTCAACATCTACTCCGTCAGATGGCTTTTTTCCCCTAGCATTACGCATACATATTGAACAGCTGGAACCAACAAAAGACATAAACAACAATCCTGAGATTTTCCAAAGAAAATGGTTTTGCTCCTGCTAATTTGGAATTACTTAAAAATAAAAATAAAAAAGAAAGAAAGCCTCCAGTAAAACCTTCTAAACTCTGTCAAAGCTCAAACAGAACATTTTAGGTTAAGCAAAGCTCTAGCTTTTGAGAGAACAGGTTTTTTTAGGCTTACTTTTGATTCTTAAATCACCTTAAAGAACAAAAACACAAACAAAACACACACACTGTTGCATCTTGGTATGAAACCACTTTCTTTTAGCATCACGTGGATACCAAAATAGCATAAGATCTCTAGCCCTGAAGGGCTGCGAGTAACCAACCCCAGCAAAAATCAGACTCGACCTAGCCTAGAGCCTAGAGCTAAGTGTGAAGGGAAGAGCAGCGCAGAAAAAGGAAAGGGCTAAGGGACAGCACCTGCCACGATGTGCTGACAAACAGCACGGGGCCAACGCAGGACAGCGAGTGGGGCCAAGGCCAAACACGGGGGATAGGGAGCAGCGGGTTGTGGCCAGGGACAAGCACGGGGGATGAGGAGCAGCGAGCTGTGACCATGGGGTGAGGAAACTGCCTTCAGCCCAAATGGACATGGGTTGATCCATACCTATGTGCACGTGCACACACACCACGGGACATACTCTAATTGTACAGAAGTGGAAATAAGACCACGTGGTTCTGTACATGCCTGAGGCTCCCTCAATCACCTTGCAAGTCTTCAGCAAGCCTTTGCACAAGTCACCCAACAGAAACACAAGCTCAGGGCTAATCAAGAGATGCACAATCTATAGCTGTATTTGGTTTCTCTAAATGCCGATTGTTAAATCCTCATGATTATTTAACACACACACATATTTTCACGGGTCTAGGTCAAAGACCAAAATTACAACTCACAGAGAGATACATTCACTTTAAATTCAGAAATGTGCTTCAAACAGAGTGCAATATCCTTATTTTCCATACATGCTCTGGCAACTCTGACCGGCTGCATCTTGCAGTTAAGTAGGAGAATCAGATAATCTCCATCAGTGTGGATTTAACTCCAAAACATCAGCATATCTTTTTAGCACCTTTGCAGAAACAATCCTTCTCTAACCCAGCACATATCCCTGTAAGAAGCTTTCCAATTTTCCACAGGAAAATGTTTTTCAGAGAAGCAATAAAGGGAAAAAAATATATACATTACAGTTAGAAATCTATTATTTCAGCCTTGCTTACCCAACAAAATCCCTCCTGTGGAGGGAAGGGGGTTCCACGGGGTCTGAAGGGACCTTTCTGCTCCTATGCACCAGCAAGGCGTCCCTTGTTCTCACTGGGTTATTAAGTGTGAACAGCATACACTATTCAGCAAAATATGGCCTTCCTTTACGTTTCGTCTTTACGAGATACACAAACGACTTAACGTCTCATCTTGTTTTTTGGAAGGACATCTATTTTTAAACAAGTGTCTAGTTTTTCATATATTAAAAAAAAAGAGAACCAAGACGAGATATGTGAAATCTTGACTTCCTGCTCTCACTGGAGAAGTGAGGTGATATATTAACATGAATTTCTCAGCTTTTCAAATGGAGATGGCATTAGCTCTTTCACATAGACAGGTCTTCCTCCGAGCTGTTTGATGGGTCTTTGAGTTCAATGAGTTTAACAAAAAACAAAGAAATTACAAAGACATTATAAAGCATTAGACAGAGTGACCAAACACTCCCTGCCTCTCAAGCTAAAACTTGACACATCTATAGCTTAGATTACGGTCTGAATTTTAGGTCATTACCACAGTATTGACCCAGGAAAGTCTTCATTAAAAAGATAAACAAATAAATAAATTAATATGGATTAGACGTAATATTTCTAATGCAACCGGCAAGCAAAATCAGAGCAGAAAGACAAATCTTTGAGCTGCCACCATGCATCCTGAACTAAGAACATGAGGCAGATGAACATTTCTTTCTACTTCGCAATTCACTTTGAGTAACACGTGGAGGGCCTGGGAAAGCTCCTGCTCCTCCTATTGGTAGATTCCCAAACTCCACGGGCTGAAAAAACATCAAATTACGCTGCATTTGTAGATGCACTATTGTGAGTCACAGCTAAAGCCTGCTTGGGGAAGCAGCCCTTGCAGGTGGCGCGGCAGGACAACAGTCAATTTGGTCAAAGGCTGTTGCGCTAAAACTACCAACCAACCATTCTGCTAGTGCACTGTACCATCAATCCCTGGCATTCCACGCAACTTCTGTGAAGGTATCATCCTCCTTGTAAATGCGTTACTACCATGAATTCTTTCCAAAAGCCTCAAAGCAACATCCACAAAAGTCATTCTTGAGCCTCTCCATTACACTGGTATGCAGATCTTACAGGTGCTGAAGGAATATGCAGCTGACCGAAGAAACGATGGGGTTCAAGTCAGTTAATAACCGATTCCAAAATATTCCCTAAATCTGGCAGCAGCTGTGCTAGAAACAAGCATGGAACACAAGTCAGATGGTAACGTCAAGTCACTCAAGCCATCAAGGCTCTAGTTCCCTGCCCAAAGTAAATCACAAGACTCCATAGATTCACCACAAAGTAGTTCACGACTGCTTAAAAGTCCTGGAATAAATCCTCCCATTTCAGGGCTGGTTTGAGCACCACTAAAAACATTTAATTGAGTTGCTTCTTCCAGTGGGAATCAAAGGCACTCAAGCTCTCAAAATGCCCTTCCTTTGATCTCTGAGCCAAAATGCCAAATACTCAGTTTAAAGTTGGCTGGATCCCCACCGCAGGAAGGAGAAGACAGCCGATCAGGCCTCTCGTTACGACGCTGGCTGCACTGTGTGTGCCAGCTGCTCAAGATGAGCTGTACAATGGCTTGGGATCCAACAGCATCAAGCACGTTACCACAAAGAAAACAAGCTCTCAGAGGGGAAGTGACTGCAAAACCCAGACTTCCCAGAGTAGCCCTAAGCACCAAAAGCAGCACAGGAAAGAGTGCTAGTTGAAGAAAACAGTCGTTTAAGGACGTTTCCAAAACGCAAAGCTACATCAGGTCAATCATTTTATGAAATGATCGCGCGCCAACATCACACAAGGAATCCAAGAAGCACCTGTAATGACATCCCACGCTTCCCACCGAGCTAAGCAGGAGCCCGTACGAATTGCTGCTGAACCTTAACCCCTCTATGGTTGTGCACAGCCAACAGGCACGCGTTTTCCTCCGACACGTATCGCTCACCTGACCAAGGGAAGGAAGCGTTGCGTACGCCATGGGCTGGTTCATCATTCCCTTCTGCTTCATGATGAGCAAGCGTTTCTGTTCCTCGCTCAGGTGCGCCATCTGCGCTTGCATCTGCGGCTGCTGGGCCTGCTGCTGCTGCTGGATGTAGGGCAGCATGGGGTTCTTGCTGGCGTTGGCCATGGGTGGCGTTATCCTCTGACTCAGCTCAGCGCTGAAGTGGCTCAGAGGTTTCGTGTTGCCATACGAGAGCATATTGGGCTGTTTGCTTAAAGAATTTGTGCCCAAGTTATTTGGCTGCTGATTGATCATGTTCATGTGATTTTGAGGGAGGTAGTTATTAATTGTGGGCTTCTGTGGATTATTTGCCATGGGAGGCACTATTGGGTTTTGGTTGTTAAAGGCTTGAGGATACATCATTGGACTATTTGGTTTGTCTGCGCTGAAGGGTCCTCCATAGGGGCTAGATGGAGGGCCCACAGGAGACCAGCTTGAGGCTTGATTTGGGTGCTGCTGCTTCTGCTGCATTAGCTTAGCTCTCTGCTGCTGCTGCGCTGCCATCTGCTTGAGCTGCTCAGCGGGAGACAAGTCAGCACTGGGGATACTGACAGGCCCAGGCGCCGACGCCGCCACCGTCCCCGCCGCTGGATTCATGAGATATCCATTTCCCGAGCGCGCCTGCGCTTGGCCCGGGGTGTGCGCCTGGCTGGGAGTCTGAGGGGACTGAACAACACCGTTTGCTGGCGAGCCAGCAGGGACGGGAGCGGCTGGAGCACTGGATACCGACGTCGCGCTAGAGGCCGTGGAGACGTTTGAAAAGGGAGGACCGGAAGAAGAAGGCCTCACCTGGGGGGATCCTAAGGGGACATGAGCAAACGGAGAATGAGATGGATCGCTTTTAACGCTCGTGCTCTCCTGGGCCTCCGCGGCCGGCCTGGGAAATTCCGACTCCTTCTTCTCTTCAAAGTCCTCGTTGAACAAATCTTGTATATCGTCTTCTGGAACTGTGTTTGCCAGCTCATCTATTAGCTCCTGCCACTCTTGATCGTTCAGATTAATGTCCGAGAAGAGCTTGTTCTGGTTGGAAAGAGACGTTTCAGAAGTGTCTATGCAGGTAGGGTCATCCAAAGGCTCTTGCTTTAGTTCCTTGTTCTGCAGGATGTTAAAACCATCGTCTAGCTCGTTGCAACCGTTAACAGGGAGCTTTATCTCTGAAAGTCCACCGTTTTTACCCAGGTCTTCCAGCCCACCACTATGAGTTCTGCTGTTCTGCAAGGGCAGGGAAGCCTTCATGTCCAGCTGGTGAAGCGGAGAAACAGCAGGCAAAGGCAAGTTGTTGGGCAAGCTGTTGATTGCCTCGATGCCTGGCACATCCTTCCGTATCCGCTTGCTGGTTGGGGAAAAGCTGCCGTCGCAAACGCCGTTCTGCTGCTCTCCATTGAGAGGGGAACGGGCGCCTTCCAACTTCCTTTTCACCGTCTCTTGAAGCTGAAAGCAAAACAAGAGGGAAGAATTAACCAACTGCACAGGCAAACACAAACAAACAAACAACACGCAAACAAAAACCCAAACCAGAAAACAGCTCCAACTCTGGAACAGGTATTTCCCACCATGCCTAACAGTGACAATAGGTTTTCAAGTACTCTGATTTGGACTTTTCCTTGATTTCATTTCTACACTTTCAATCATTTTGAGAAGACTATCAAAAACTAAAGCAATTGCAGCAGAGTGCAGGCCCACTGCTGCAGAGCTGACAAATCTCTCTCCAAACTATCCAGATTTTCTGGAGCAAACAGAATATTTAAACTCAGTGGTGCCTAACATGTAGATGGGAGTTTTGTTTTCACAATATGCTAAGCAATGTCCTCTGAAAGCTTGACTCCTTTAAGGAGTCTTGAATTGGACATTCAGAAAAATCTTTTTATTATTTTTAATATACCTGTAAAACAACTGAGCACTTGCATTGAAACCTATGTGCTGCTGATGCTACATCTACTGACACTACTGTTTTTTTGGGGTTTTTTTTTTTTTTTGAGAAAATTCATTAATATAGATTCATTTCACTATCTCTGTTTTTGGCTGCAAAACATACTGAGAATCAGTTTTTACTGATTAGGGAAAAAAATACATCCACCCTAGGAAAAAAAAAAAAAAAAAAACAGAAGATACTTTACACAATGTTAATTAATTGAAAGCACAAGAGAAAAGGAAAAAAAAAAACCCACTCTGTGCTAGGATCTACCATTAAAGATGAACAGATGCAACAGTAAGATAAGGCCAGGAAACCCACAAAATTGTCTATAATAGCTTTATAGAAACAATGCACTAATCTGAGCTTTGATTCAGGTTAAAACATGTATGGCAAATTCAGGTTAAAATACGTACTGGAAAGCAATAAAAGGAGCTCCAGTCCTCTCCTGCCACACCGAATGCTAAGCCCTCTGCTTATGTACCAAGCTAAAAAAAGCAACCCTCTCTGGCTAAGGTAGAAAACAATAGTGGGGAGGAGAGGAAGCAAAGAGGTCAAAACGCCAGCGAACTCACTCAGGACACACTTGCATCCTTGATATCAGAACAATAGAAGCCTAACTAGTGACAGATTTTATCAACTGGTGCAGCATTTTTGCTGGTATGAAAAGCCTAGACACTCAGCTCCCACCCCTTCCCCAACTCAGAGGTCTCCAACCTTCTTTCTTCCCACAGTCCCAATCCCGCCTGGTTCTCCCATGCCAGAGGGCGAGCTCCCCTTTTCCTGCAACCGCAAAGTGGGCAAGCGACTCCGGATCCCGTCCTGGCTTTGGCAGGAGCCGGTCTGAGCAGGCTGCACCTTCAGCCTTGGCTATACCCATGACACGTGGCCATGGGCCACGCGGGCATTGCTACCGTGCCAGTCGGACACACGCGGGATACGAGCTGGGAACAAGCCGTGGGCTTGTCCTCTGCAGAGATGGGACCCTTGTAATGAAACAGACAGCAAGAGATTTTCAGGTCTTATCTCATTTACTAGTTTGTCCCCAATCCATTACCTTTGTCATACAGGAATATCTGACCCCCCCCAAACCTCCAATCGTCCCACCAAATTAAAACAATGCATCGTGCGATAGACAGCCCCACAAACACCAGCTCCTAAGGATCTCCTCATGTTCCGAAACTTGGATGCGCCCCTGTACAAATACACAGTGGAAGGAAAAGCAGGCACAGTACATAAATATTAATAACTGTGTTTATTTTGTATTACAACAACAAAAAAAAAAGTAGCTTTTTAAAATGAAAGCGATTTTCCATCAAATATCAAATGTACACAAAATCTCGCTTTGTTGTGAATGAAAACAAAATGAAGCCTAAGTTTGTAGCTCCACGTTATTTTTCTACAGAGGTTTTAGGATTTGGGGGGTTTGCAGGCACTAGAAAAATCTAATTTTTTTTCTCTCTTTTCCCTTTGTTTGCTCTTTGAACAACTCTAAGGTAGTCAGAAACATAACACGAAAGGTTTGTTTGGAGGGAACACGCTGGATACAAACCTCGGAGGTGGGGAAGCGTCTCGGCTCGAGCACTTCAGAGGCTTTGGGGGCCACAACAACAGGCACCTCTGCTTTTTTGGGTATAGCACAGAAATACTCTTATCAAATTATTTCAGTGCTAACGTTCACTTTCATATCCTGATTTCATTCCCGACGACCATGTCAACTAGTGGATGCCTCAGATATCAGGCCCTGGCCATATCCTGGGCAAACACCTCACTGCATCCGGATTCCACAGTTAGTTTTGGACTAAAATCCCAGCACGTACCCTTCCCCCTGTAAGAACAGGGCCTGAAGTGAGAGAGTCCCTTGCAACGCGCCTCCCATCTCCTTGAAAGAAGTGATGTACAGGCTGCTCGTGTGATTTACAGCAGGCATCAAGCATATACTACATTAGCAGCAGCTTAGAGATTTGTATCTAGCAGCGGAAGCATAAAATAAGGCAAACAAGCAAAAAATTAAATTAACCCTTGCCGGGCTGACACAGGCCTTCAGCCATGCCCACGTGCATGATGGAAACCCACTTCGCCGAAGGTTTCCACAGCCAAGTGAAGCAGGACCCGTTGTGATTTATGTCTTTAAACCCCTGCCTGCAGAGCAGGGGAAGGCCAGACTTTAGGAGGCCGCCTTGTTAAACGCCTCCTGATGGGGGGCAGGCGCCGCGTGGGTGGCAGAGCCGGCGCACAACAAGGGCGCGTGGGGCTGCGGGCCGAGCCTCCCTGCGTGCCGGCCAGCGGCTCCGCCCCATCCCGCCCGCACCAAGCCGTTTTCCAGGAGAAAGGAGACGGAGGCGCCGTTGTTATAGCAACGGCCTGGTTTTACAGGTGTTTCCATCTGCTGGGTTCCTAGCGGACCTGTTGCCGCTAAGGCGCTCTCCCGTTAGCGCGCTCCAGCCCTTCGCTGCACGCACCGCAGTGCAGTCGCGGAAGCGCCAGCGGGCTCCGCTCCGCGTCCCGGGGGGCAGCTCTGCTCTGCGCCTGCCCTCTGGATCCTGGGGAAAGCGGGAGCCAACCCCCTCGCCCACAGCCCCAGGTGGGAGCCAGAGCGATGGGCAGAACGTCCTCCTCCCGGCACTGCTCCAGCTCCGGCTGTTAGAAAGCAACGCCGAGGGTTTCCAGGCCTTGTGCTGTGTCCTGACCCAGCAGCTGCACTGTGCACACGGGCTTAAGCTCTCCTCCAGGGCAAGGACCAAGCCCTAAGACCTGGTCGTGGTCTGAGCTCTCCTCAGAGCAAGAGCCCAGCTCTGGTCACGGTCTGAGCTTTCCTCCAGAGCAAGAACCCAGCTCTGGTCACGGTCTGAGCTCTCTTCCACAGCAAGGACCCAGCTCTGGTCATGGTCTGAGCTCTCCTCCAGAGCAAGGACCAAGCCCTAAGCCCTGGTCATGGTCTGAGCTCTCCTCCAGAGCAAGGACCAAAGCTTGGCCCTCCTGGCATGACTCCTGCTTTCCTTCAGTTCACCCCTCTTCCTAGTTCTGTTCTTCCTGGAGCTTCTCCTGAACTTCTCTTCTACCCTTTCCTCTTTTCTCCTTGAACTTCTCCAGACAGAGCCCCATTTCTCCCTCCAGCATAGGGCCAAACCAGTTCTCCCGGGTGCTAGCCGCGAGCTCTGCCGTCACCGACCGTGCTGCCCAGGCCCCTGCCGGCTCTCAGGGCGGGCCTGGTGCGGGAAGCTGGTTTGGGATGAGAGCAGCTCGCGGTCGATTGCAACCGCAATCCCTGGTCAATGAAGGAGGTCGGACCCCCTGCCTGTGGTCCATCCTGCGAGGGCCGCGGCGCTCCTGCCCACAGGGTTTTTGGCAAAGGGTCATCAGAAGAGCAAACTGAATCCTCCTAATGCAGGAAGCGAAACGTGCTCAGGGCACCAGCGAGAGCTGCACTGGCCAACAGCGACGCTACAGAGCACCTAGCTCACGAGGCGTGCAGCAGTGAGGCCACACATACAAAATACACCAATAAACGCCAGCTATGCTGCTCAAACCGTATATTTCTAGAACAGGCCGAGATGAAGTACGATCATTCTGGCAAGTATATTTTATCTCCATCCTATTTTGCCTTTAAAATATTCTCGTTTCATAATTCTGCTCTTTCTCTCCCTCTCTCTACACAACTCCAACGCAAAGGTGGACGCACACACATTAAGTACTGTGCTCCCGAGGAGGCTTGGAAAGAGCAGGGTCCCTGGGGAAGCTGCCGAGTAAAACACAGGCAACGGACGCAATTAATTGGTGCTCTTAAGTCCTGTTAAATTTGCCAGTAATTTTGCGTTGCGAAAATTATTTCTCGGATGAAACGTCGCCCAACAGCCTTCCTGCTTGCACGTGTGATGTGTGCGGCTTCCTGCCCTTCCAGGTTCACCCGGTTTAATCCTATTTTAGTCCCGACGGGTAAGCCCTGGCCAAGCGCAGCCTCGTGGCTCGCGGAGCGCCTGCATCCCCGGCCGTGCCCCAGAAGGTGCTGCAAGGCAGAGGGCAGAGCTGGTAAATCCTCACCCTCCGCAAACATACCCCGAGCCGCTCGGCATCTGCACAGGAGAGAAAGGAACAGCAAAGAGCAGACGCTGCACGTTGTTAAAACGGTGTCTCCTGAACAACTCCGGCACACCAGGGGACAAAGGAAACGCAGGAACTTCCTGTGTTTTAAACTCAGGAGCAGCAAAACAACACTGGCCATGCTCGCATCTGCACCACAGCTACCCAGTCACTGCTCTGGATTTCCTTAAGCCGCATACGAGATCAGAAAGTCTTCTGGGGAAAAATCCCACCCTTCTCCATG